GTGGTAACGTCAAGTGTATCATGCATACAGAAATGCGAATGATGCTGTCCGGGATCTATTGCAATTCCAGCATCAGTGAGAACATCATAATTAGGACATTTAATTCACAAATGCCTGTTTGCTTTGACTGCCATGACAAGGTTTAATTGTTTCACCTGAGAGAGTATAGAAACCCTCATGTAATAAAGTAGTATTCGCATGTCCGTTTTTCTGGAAGCATGTTCAATTCACTGTAAAACGATAAGGAAGCAAAAAGAAACGATAACCCCCGATGACTCTTGTGCAAAACCCTTGACATGCGAGACGTGGTATATGCTTGGACAGAGGTGGAAGGGCTTGGTCCGCTGTAGCCTTGTGCTGCAGCATTGTCGTGCCGCATGGTTTTCCAACTTGCACAAGGCATGACAACGATAACAAAAACGATAACACAGCGAGCCTAAAACACCTTTCCGTAGGCAGGCCACCACATGGGTGTAGTTGGAATGAAGTGTGCCTAATGTCTTCATATCTGCAAGGTTCCACACACCACAAGCATGTAGTGCACACACTACATCACACTGTACCTAAATTATATATGCTGTTACTACATTTGTTGCCGTTAGTCAAAGTGCTGTAAAACGCTAAGGAATAAAACAACGATAACGTCAAAAGTGGTATAGGGAAAGGTAGGGGGGTTTTTACACAACCTCACCTTGCAAAGGCCATCTGTCGACGTTGCCCCGTCAGGTCTCTGTGGACGATCTGCTGGAGATCTCTGAGGACGGCAGGGCGTCCGCGCGCGGACGCCTCTCCTGCGTCCGCCAGCGAATCCGGCTCCACGCAGAGGACTTCCGGGATGCCCAAGAGGCCAAGGCCAAGGAGCTGGAGCGATGCCAAGGGAAGAGCCGCAAGGACCGGCCATGTCGATCAGGCATGGCAGCCACGGGGACCGTGTGGTTTCAGACCACAGGTACGTATGGAGCACTCACCACAGGTACGTATGCACTCAATCTCAACCTCTCAACCTCAATCCTATTGGAAAGAAAGATTACTTTCCAGCACGTGGAGGAAAGTGGCACTTCTAGAAACGGCCAGGTAAAGAAAGTCCTCATCATCCTGACAAATGCTAGAATCTGAAAGCAGGTTTTCATAAAGGTTCAATCCTGCAGCGCTGCTGCAATATGGAGAATCAAACACTATGTTCAATTACGCAGGGAGTAGCTACGTATTCCCAAACCGCTGCTGCTGCACTCACTTAAATTGCAAGCACAATCCACAGTATTTAGTATTGAGTCTTCTTACGTCATTATGCCTGTCCTTGATCATTCTTTTCTTTTGACAACCTATAGATGAGCTTTGATGACTGATATATTGTTCAATCTAAGGTTCTCAGGTGTCCAAGATCCAGTTTAGCTAGGGGTGGGCAAACCCGAAGGAGCGGGCGGGCGCCCGGAGGAGTTGGAGGAACGGATGGTGGAGCTGACCCGAATGTTGGCCAATGCACGGCTGCATTCGAAGGCACGCTTGGAGCAGGCGAGTTGAGTGAGAAGGGCGGGAAATTCCTGGATTCCTTGCAGCCTGAAGTGAATAATAGGATAGGTCACTGTGGATGGAACATTGGTCGCCCAAAGTTACAAATCCTTCTTCAGACAAAAGAGCAATATCTTAAATCAAGTCTAATTATGTTTGACTTTGAGTGTGGTTGAACCCAGCTGAACACCTTCCATGACAGCTTCTTTTGATGCCAGCTTCATTCCGCCAGAGACCTCCACTGCGGTCCTCCAGAGGCCCTCCAGAGCAAGCTCACACAAGAAGAGCTCAGGTCATTGAAGGCACGAGGGGGCGAGTCTCAACATGTTTTTTATAATTCTCCAACCTTCTGGATGTATTTTTGAGCAGATTCCTGTATTATGCGGTGCTCAACTGTTCGTAAAACAACTTTGTTGATCAGATGGGTGAAAACCGGTCCATATCGTCAACTAGACATTTTAACGTTGAGGTGCACCAGACATGTCTGGTGACCAACTTGGATTCCATGAATGACAAGGTACCTGAAAACACTAGGAATGTCGGAATGTCCAATAAGCAAAGGATTGGCGACTTCCCGCGATCCTGTCTCACCTAATTACAGAAATTGGCAGAGTCATCAGTTGAAATACTTGGATAGGAGGATAGAAGGGAACACTGGGGTGCATCAATCAAGCTAGAGCTGAGTCAGGCGGAATATGAGGGATTTCCACGATGAATATGGATGAATATGGAATATGCCCATGACATCCTATATTTATATATATTTGTCCTGTATGTAGGGTGTGTCCCACTACGAGGTAACCAAGAGGTCTTTACTAATCTTCATCCACCAGCTGTTACTGGTAGCGGGATATACCCAGCCTATACCCAGCCTGTCCGGCAGAAAACAGACCGGGAGTTGACGGTAGAACTTTGGACCGTCTTGAGCAGAGGATTCTCATTGGACCGTCTTGTGCCAGGGGCTTTACGCTTCCTTGAAGGAGGCGGAGAAGGACTTCGACCAGGCACTTGGAGATGGCACTCTTCTTCGCTCTTTCTTTCAGATGACCTGTAATATGTAACCTTCGACTTTGCCGTACCGTCACGCCTTCTCCTTGGGATGGAGAATTTCTGTCCGTCCGTTGCCGGTCATGTCCCACTGGACTCTCGTGCTCGTTGCTCCACATCTCCAGGCGGCGGAAGTGGAGTTCGAAGAGTTGAAACAACAGCTGCGGCGAGACCAAGAGGAGCCCCGTGCGAGCGTGCGTTCTGGAACGCGGCGGAGCGTGGCTCCAGGGACGTGAGGCAGAGGCGGCAGAGGGCTCCGGTTCAGTGCCCCAACTTGGAGATTCATGGGTGAGTGGCAAATGATAATAATGAGAATAAATGAGGCAAAACAACATCTTCCACCATTGCCTATAAATGTAAGCTGGTTTCGACATGTTGCCGCGATTTGCCCACATCGCTCAAGCGATAGAATAGAACTCTTAGAAGAGCAATCCCAGGGGGTGATCCTTTTTGGTCATCCGTGACACACGTGACACCAATCTCCGATCCACCGTAAGCATCTTCGGTATCCGTTTGTGCTTCAGATGCTTCAGCGAAGCATTTGCGGTCGTCCACGACGCCCAAACTCCCAACCTCCGGACCACATGGGATGCAGCGAGACGCCCCAGATGCAGCGACTCTGGTATAAGGTACTGGAAGGCTAGGACGGATGAAGTACTAAAGGATACTAATTAAAGGGATTTTATATGATTTTGCCCTATATTTGCCAAAGAGCAGCAATAAACCATCATAAACCTACCCTGACATGACAGTCATGATTTGGCAATCTTTGGTATGTCATTCTCGTCTCCGCATGTCTCCGCCTATTTGGCGGGGATAGATTCAGCCTGTACCCTGACAGTATTGGTCATTGACATTTTGCTTTTTCCTTTTCGGAGCATCGCCCTGGAGATGTCGAGCTCCTGTCACAGGAGGCCATTGCAGTCGCCCGGGCGCCAGGATCAGATGGAGGGAGCAGAGGGCGCAAGGTAAAATCCGTTGAAGTTCCGTGCCTCGTGAGACCATGTTGGTGACAATATTATGTATAGTAGTATAGTATACATAATACATATGGGGATTGATTGGTCGTGACCCACATCATGTACATGGATGGAGCCTGGATGAGTCATGAACATGGAGTTTAACAACGTTTCAGCCTGACAGTGGAACACAACTCGGAGATGTTTTGACTTTAGTAAACTTGAGTGCCGATTCCTTTCACAGCCAGGGTGCAACGGCGAACGAGCTGATATTTACACCGGGCTGGTTATAACCGTTATACTCGTTTTGGGTGGGGAAACTTGTGACTTGCAGTAGTGCTCCGCTCTGACCGATGTGAGATCCACGGATCAGAGCGAGTCCAAGTGCAACTCCAGACGGACCGTTGAGACGCACTGCTGCGCCAGGGGTCTTTCACCGGTGACCGTCTTTTCACCCATCTGAGTCTGTCTAAACCTGCAATTTGCACAGGTTTTGGACACCTCCTTTTCATTGGGCAGCAGACCTGGTTGGCAGTCTACCGGTCATACCAATAGCATCCAATATCTAATATCCCAGACGGTTTCTTTCAGCAGACGCTTTAAAGGTGGTTGACCCATCCCATCACTGGCCGCTGTTGCCCCTGGCTCACGCGATGGACTTAGCCCTTTAGGGCGCACAGAGAATGATCTGCCATGAGAAGAAGATCTGCCGATTTGCCCATCGGTACAGGCAACAGTCAATCCAGTTCGGGGGAAGTAAACCTTCAGTCCAAGCCTCAAATATGCCACCTTCATAAAGGTGGTAGCATGTGCTTTGTAGCAGTTTTTGGAAGCAAAACAAACATGCTCACTGGCCTTGACGAAAAGACCTCAATCATAGAATCACCAGAATGTCCAGGGATTGCAAGTGACACCCCAGCTCATGTCCCACCCAGAGTGGGACCAAGAAACAGCTGAACCGTCACCTCACCAGCAAGAACCACTACTCCCGACTCAGCTGCTGGCGTGTCCAGCCCCACCAGCCCCGTTCGAACGGTTTTGCGGGGCTGTGGAGCAGCCCGTCCGAACGGCGCTTGGCGCCTGATGATTTGGAGCGATGTCGACCTCACCACAGAAGAGGCGGATGATGTACCTTGAGCTGGGTACAGCACGGCTGCTGCATTGATCGCCCTAGATTTGCCTTAGTAGAGGGACGCGTGTCCGGAAAGAAAAAATGTTTGCTTCTCTTGTTGGAAGAATAGCAATTCCAGCACGTCAAAAATCCAAGTGTGCAGTTGAATGTGTGAGTGTCAATACATCAATGCATGTTGGATGCTTGCGTGCAGTTTTTGTGACAATTGGAAGGTGTATCAGCATTCGTACTGGGAGTTCGGTTGAGTTTACAGTTTCTTAAACTTACTGTATATGTTGAATCCTATAGCCTATATATTGTGAGGATTCCCTCACAGAGTGGCAGGGGCACGAACAACATCCATGGCACCTGTTTCACCGCACGGACCTGTGTGACTTGAGCCACCGTGTATCGGTGGTAAGACGTTAACGACAAGGACCCTACACTCAACTGGTTCTGGTACCGGGTGGACCCCGATTCACACTGGTACCATTCTCTTTTGAGTGTAGGGGAGTGTAGGGGGGTTCGCTCCAGAAGTTTTCTCTGCAAAGCGACCCCTTCTTCTAGTATTGACCACTGACCGGTCTCAAGGATGTGTCTCAAATAGACTGGTGGACCATCTTTCGTGAGAGCATCAGAAATCATTGCTCGAGTATCGATCCATCTGATGATACCACCTTGAGATTTAAATTCATCCTTTAAAACTGAAATGTCGATTGCCACCCGTTTGTCACAAAACTGTGCTGCTGGACAAGCATCGCGTTTCAGGGAGTCATAGAGTGACTTGCTGTCAGTAACCGTGATGAACGGAGTCTTCTGGAGTTGTGCTTCCCAATTCCTGTTGGTGCTAACGCCACTCAAAACTTCCAACAACAAAAGTCGATGCCAGTTGACTGAGCCCACTCCGTTGATCAGCGCTTGACTCTCAGCTCCCAGGGTGCTAACGACCTTTCGTTTCAGTCGGTAGCTGCGCCAGGATGCTACTGTCACTGGTGTCGGAGTTTGTGAGGTGGTCAACTGATCATCGTAGTACACAATGCACTGTCCACCCTGACTGCTCAAGCAGGCTTGTTGTTCCGCCAAGGAACGGATCTGAGATGCAGGAACTGCTGGTTGCTGTTTTGTTGCCTTCAAAAATACTGTTTTTCCGGTCCAGTCTTCTGAAGCGCACTTGAGACTGTTCGCTGAATTCCACGAATCAGTCTCAGAAACACAACCATGGTCAGCAAGAATCCGATCTGTTCGACGAGTTGGCTGAATATCGTGGAGACTTGGACCATTGGTTGTAAAATCGGGATGAAAATAACTCTTTCGAGGTTGGACATGATGACGAACCCAAGATGTGGGAGTCTCCTCCCAAAAATCGGATTTGATGGGATCCTCGATTCCGTTTCCGGAATCCCTGGCATTGCCCCAGGAGGCATCTGTGACTACTCCAACACGGAGTGCTGACAAAGGAATTGGTTGAACTTTGATCCCAAGATGTTTGTACTGTATTGCTTCTTGTGCTAATTTGTTGGCTGCTTCCAAATCTTTCACCTTTGGATGTGGAAAACTCTGTTGTAACAATGCACATCGACCTGCTAGATCACACCTTGTTTCCTTGCTCAACCAGGACAAGGTCCCCAAGAGTCCTCGAAGTTGTTCAATCTCGGTCGCAGTGCACTTGTCATACCGCTGACTGCGGCGTTTCTTTTCAAGTGGAATCAGTTTCACCTTGTCGTCCACATAGTAACTCTGGTTGATTTCAATCGACCCATCACCTAGCTGCCGAATATCCTTGCCAGTAAATCGACCTGCCTTCTGTTGATTCTTCCCCAGTTTGTAGTCCAGAGAAATTTGTTCAATATGTTTCCAGTGGTCAACATCACCACCATGAAACACATCATCTGTAGCCACACCTAGAATACCCTTCAGCTTCCCATGAGTTGAACTCTTGTCAAACAGCATCCACAAACAGGGATCCAAACGCGATTGTTGATACCCCTTTGAAGCCAAGTATCGACACAGGTGTTCATACCATTTGTGGGGGCCATCGGTCAATCCATAGCAATGTTTGCGCAGTTTGATCAGCTGTGAAGGGTGTGCACCAGGGATACCTTCCTTTGGTTGTTCAGCATATAGTTCCCTGTTGATTTGATCTCCACTATGGAAAGCTTGCGTGAAATCAAGGAATCCAGGTGTCCAGCCCAAACTGGACAGCACTTGTGCTATAAACACAACCCCATCTCTAGTGACCTGTGGGGTGGTTGTCTCAACGTCGAGAGCGTCGGGTTCCGAAAAACCCTGCATGACATGTCGACATTTTGCCTTCACGGGTCCATGTTCCTGATCGTCCAGCAAGAGATCTTCGACACGAGCTTTGTCGACTTCTGCGTCTTCAAGAGGTTTCTTGACCAGAACATATCTTGAACCCATGATTTTATCCGGCTTGGATCTTCGAACTTCCTCAGAGGTGGTTTGATCCAGAAGCTCATAAGCTCCTGAGGCCAGGTTCTGATTGATCTCCTTCGCAATGGCCTTGATGAGCCGGTGCCAATCTTTTCCAGTAAAGTCTTTGGCAGTATGTTCTTTTCTCTTTTTGGTCATGCCACATTTTTGTAAAACTGTATGAAAAAGCTCCAAAAACTCAACTCTTTGTCGCTTGTCGGGAGGAGAAACAATATCTTCTGTTGTATCATCTTCGTGTTCACGTTTCTCTCCATGATCTGCAATCATTTCTGTATCTGGAAGTTCCGGCTCAATCGGAGGTTCACTCGGAGTATATTCGAGATCGGGCTCGGAAACGAACGGTTGTCCTTGACCATCCACAGCAGGAGCCAATCCAGGCGGTGGCAGGACTGCGCCAGATTCTGGAGCTGGTTGTTCGCCAGGCGGATCGGCAGAGCGCTCGGCATATTCGCCGATAGCTGTTTTCGCTCGAACTCTCCTGGCAGGCGCGGGGAGATCTGTGAGAGGTCTCCGCTCACTAGGTTCCAACATTGGTTGACGGGGTTCTAGCATATCTTCAGGATCTATGAGATCATCTCTATCTGGATTGATTTCTTCTTCACCTAATTCATCTTGAGTCGGAGGTGCCTCTTCACTTAAATCGATCAAACCACGAATATCGGGACGACGAAGTTGATCCCGAAGCTCAGTCAACCCCTCTAACCATGATGACAAGGTCATGGTTTCCTCCTCACTGGCAGCTCGAATGCGTTCTGGCGAGGCCTTAATTATAGTATTTCGGTGGGAAAGCCAAATGGTGTTTGGCATGTCTACCAGCAGGACTCTGGCAGGTCCTTGCCAGTAGAAAGAGGCAGGTTTCTTCTGAGTATCAGCGCCTCTTCGAAAGAAAAACGCGATTTGTCCTGGTTCGAAAGTCCTCCATGGACGTGGTCCGGCGAGGGTGGCTCGCTGGAGGGCATTTTGGCAGTCGGAATCGAAAAACGCTTTTGCTGCGGATCGTCGGAGCTCCATGCTCAAGACAGACAAATCTCCCGGTCTCACCGGCGTTCGTTCTGAGAACTGTGGATCACGGCCGGAAAGCAGTTCTCCGGGGAGTCTCGGTGTGAACCCCATGACCCGCTGTATGGGGGAGTATCCCCCTTTCAACAATAATCTATTTCTCATCATCGAACTGGCGTCGACGTTTTCTCGCCACTGTTCTTCACTTTCACATGGGACGGTGTTCATGGTTTTATACAAAATTTGTTTGTACGTTTTTCCAGCTCGCTCAACAAGGCCTCTCTGGTGAGGGCTTTCTAAGGAACTAGGTACAAATTCAGTCCCATCTTTTTCGACGGCTCGAACGAAAGATGCCTTGAACTCAGAGCCAAGGTCACCGTACATTCTTCGAGGAGCACCGAATATTCGAGTCCACTGTCGGTAGGCTGTTCTGGCAGCTTTGGCTGTGGCTGATGTCATCGGGATGACTAGTTGAAAGTGAGATGCATAATCAATGCAGTTCAGCGCAGTGACAGCTTCATTCCTATGATTACGAATCTTAATCGAGTCAACCCCAATCAAATCATTGAATTGGAGGTTCTCCCTTGGTGGAGCACTGAATCGACGGGTTGCTGGCATACTGAGTTGCTGACAAACCGAACACCTAAGGTTCTTGGCAATCTCTAGGATTTCAGGCTTCACCTTACTAGCCTTCAGGATACGAAGAAATCTATTGAGCTCGGGATGACCTAAACTGGGCACGTCGAACTAGTCTCTCGAGACTCACCTGACGAGAACCGGCGAGTTCACGGAGTTTCTGCCAAGCAAAAACAGTTACGATGTTTTGGTTCTCGGATTCCAGTGCCTTCTCGAGGTCCTCGGAATTCAGGTCGCTCACAGATTCCAGCTTGATCAGTTCCTTCGTTTCCAAGTTAAAGGTCAGCCTGTAGTCCACCAGGTTGAAGTGTGGGCCATCTCCTTTTGTGGTTTGGTATTTGTCGGCTTGGAGATCAGTTCGGGTCCAGAACTTCCAATCTCCTTCAGGTAGATGTTCTTTGGCTTGAATTGTGAACTCGTTCTCTTGAGAGCCATAGAAAGGAGCATCTAAGGCTGGGATCAGATCCTCGCCTTCCGCAAAGATCTCTGCAGTTTCTTCGGAGGTGTAGTAGTGTTCATCGACCTGCCGATCCAAGCTGATGATATCAGCAGCCAGAATGAAGTACAGTTCCTTTTCTGGACGGTTGATCGACTGGGCATAGCTCTTGAGAATCGTGTTCACGAGCCCCGGAGGGTATCGTTGTGCCTGCGAAGATCTCGATCCATTGGAGTCGCAGCCAATCACAGGTTCATGTCGATGACTATGATCACATCTCTTGGATAGGGCTGCGAGCACACTTGGATTGTTACCCATGAAGCTCGTTGGCTTCTTGACAGCTGCACCTGAGGCCTTGAGTTTGAGGCCATACATGCACTGATCGCCATGGACTAGTTCGATACCGCGTGTTTGGAGGAGCTTCCGAATGCAAAGTTCGGACCAAGACCGCGCGGTTTGAGGTTGTTCAAACAAAAAGGACAATCCCAGCTCGTGACATGTCAGGCAAACATGCGCAGCAAAACGAAGGAGTCTCCTAGCTTCATGTAGCTTGTTCATGAACTTTCGTGCAGCTGTCCAGTCTCTACTCCTCAATGACTGTGACAATTTCTGGAGGGCACTGAAAGGACCACATGGGGGTGAAATGATCGTCAACCCAGGTCGTTCAATCCGAATATGTGAAAGGACTGATTCTTGTGACTGCTTAGAAAGAAGATCATCTCCAAGAGTCAGATCAAATATCTGGCCTCGCTGAAGTCCAAACTTTTGTGTCGCGGGTCCAAACCGGTCGGGGTTGAAGACCTCTGAGATCATTCTCAAATTCGACTTGTCAACCCGAAACAATTGTTCTGCATTGCGGAGGTTCCTTTTCGTTGGTTTCAAGTCTTTTGCAACCATTGTCAAAAACAACTCTTCACCAACATGTTTGGTCGGGTCGTCAAAGATCTGTAACATTTGTTGCCACATGATTTCAGCTGATTCCAAACTAGCGCACATCCTGTGCAAATGAGTTGGATTCAATGCTCTCACTTCTGGATTCAGCGGCGGCGGCGCTGCATCTGGCAGAACTGCTTGAACTCTTGAAATTCTTCCCATGCTTGTTGATCCCCAGGAATCGCACTGTCCTGGTGTGAGCTGGCAGCTGACGCCGGCTTGGTGCGCTGTTTGCGCTCCAGGATGGTTTGACAGTCGATGCAGCGAGTTTGCTCGATCCATCCATTGCTGCCGGCCTTGGTCACGTTGTAGTGAGGACAGATCTTTGGATCCATTTGCATGGGATACTTGGCTGTCTGCGGATCGGCCGTGGGTAGCAAGGGAATGACTCCCTTCTTGTTCGGACTGGGACTCCAAAATGGTTGGTCCTTGGTCCACATGAAGAAGCCGCAAGACTTGGTGGTTTCCCAGCGTGGGCATGTCCAGAACTGCCGATGAAAGTGGTACCCCTCCTTCCTGGAGATCTGGAGTGTGGTCGTCAGATGACAATGGCATAGAGGAGGTCGTTGATTGCTGTCCATACTCGGTGACATCACCGGAGATGGAGGTTCCCACTTGGGCCGCTCCGGAGTTTTTGGAGCTGCCGGTTCTGGGATGTAGCCCTGTGTCTTCTTGCCCTTTCCGCCACTGACTAGGGAGAAATCCTCCAGTCTGCGTTGCTCCAGTTCTTCCTGTAGATGTTCTTGTGATACTTCCAGGTCGGACTCGCTCATGTTCTCCAGCTCGTTGACCACCAGACGAGTTCTCATTCCCGGAGGTCCTGACATGTGAAGCCGATTGGAGACCAGGGAGATCATCATTTGGCGGATCATCAGCAGAAGTCGTAGGGCCAATCGACGCCACTGCGGAATCGAGTCCCGCTTCTGCTCCATGGCTCGGCTGCGTTTCTGTTGCTGGTGCATCCTTGGGCTCGATGACACCAGAATTTGCGGCCGGTTGCTGCTGAGCACCAGTCCCACAATCACGAGCCATAAGATTCAGAATCTCGTGTTCATTCACGTTCTTCAGCTTGTGAGATCCAGCTTGCAAGTGTTGCAACATTTGCGGAGTGAACTCATGCAGTGGTATGCGTAGGGCTCCCGTTGGTCCAAGGTGTAGGGGAATTCTGTGGTTGTACTTTCGAAGAAACACGGACAATCCAACTGTCGGATCCAATTCCAAGACGGATCGACACGCTAAAAGGAAGGGCAATGACAACAAAAATGGGGCCTTGCTTCCGTGCTCATCTTCGAATACTGCTTGTCGTAAAATGCAGCCGTTTGGTCCAATACTATTTGGTATGCATGCCACTCGTTGTGTGGTTGATGTGCCATGTACACTGCAAAAACGATGTGGTTCTGGTTTCATCAAAATCTCAAGCTGTTTAGGTTGCGCTGATTGCAATTTGTACAATGTCTCAAGACCAATCGCTGCTCTCTGACACCCCGTGTCTACTGTTGCACATGAACGCTCATCAATATCAGATCTTCTCAGATGTTCAAAACACTTCTCACTCCAAAAAGCTTCAATAGGTGGACTGCGCTCCTTGTATACTCGATCGGACGCTGAGGCAGGTTCATCTGCCGTGACACCATGATCCGAAGTGGCTTGAGGTGCCGCACGAACGGCTCGCCACTGGCTGACTGCTTCTTGCAGTGGATTCCATTCATCATCACGGCTCAAATGGTGTACCTCAGCTTGTTGTTCATTCTTCTAGTCCTGATACTCGAGGAAATGGATGAAAAGGGCTTCATCGGATTCCAGGAGTTGAACTTCTTTGGATGCTCCCGCCTTGCCCGGACACTCACGATCACGATGCCAGTGTCCGATCTGGTGGCAGACACTGCAGCGGGTCTTGCGCTTCAGTTCTTCCACTGAAACGCGGTATGTACCTGTTGGAAGGAATCCGCTACGGCCTCGTCCGTATTCGCGGGACACTTCCTTCGTTTTCTTCATCCTGCTGGCCTGCTGGAAGGTCCTCTTGCCTCCCGACTTGCCACGACCTTTTCCTTGAACGTGGTCACGAACCATGGTGGCAAGGATCTCCTTGGCATCGGACTCCTCAAAGATCTCCTCATCAGGTGCTGAGGTCGCTGGGTCAAGGCCGAGCTCTTCGGCGGCAGCCATGAGCACCTCGTACTCAGAGTCCGCTTCATCGATTTCAGGAGTATCCAAGCTGTCATCAACATGTTCAGCTAGGTAGATGCCCTTCTTGTCGGTGGTCTTGATGGCCTCTTTATTCGATATCTTGAAGTCCAATTCCGTCTCATGAACTCGAAGCCACTCTCGGACGTCGGTGACATGAAGACTACCCTTACTGAAATTCATCAAAAGCTTCACTTCCTCCGGAGAAGTTGTAGGGCCATGATGAACAAAAAGCCAAGATATTCCGGTGGCAACTGAACACCATGTTCCTTGACCTTTCTGACTGCGTTCTCCCAGCGAGCGCAAAAATCCCTCTGGCCTTCACCCTTGTTTCGTTTCAGCTGATAGGTCAGCTTCCCCAAACAGTTCAGCATATCTTCTCGAGAGTCATCTCCATAGTATTCTCGGGTATCCATTTGATCTAGCAGGAGTTGACCGCTGAGGGGGTTTGACAACCAACTATCGTCCTTGGCAAGATGCTTGAAGTTGTCAAATGCTGTACCGGTCATGTTTTTGAGGAGAAGGGGGCCACGAGTTCTCGGCTTCGATTTCGTCGTAGCCAACCAGAGTTTCGCTCGAATCTGGAAGTCCTTGAAGCCAGTTCCGTCAAAACTTGGGGGTTGACCTGCATTGGTCCGTTCACCATCATCCCGATCATCTCCTGAGTCCTGTGAGGCATAGGACCGGTGGCCTGGTCGGTCTCTACTGGAGGTGTTCCGAGGAGGGTATTGTCCTCGTGAACGTGCTTCAACAAAATTCAAAAATTGCCTGAATTCTGACGAGTCAACTCTTTGACCTCGATGTGACTGCATCCATGGATCTCCTGAAGTCTCACCTTCATCATCAGCTCTAGCGCTCGTCTCGCCAGCCGGTGGTGGTGATGCTTGAACTCTCTCAGTCACTGGGATGTCTAGTCCCGGGTTTCCTTGAAGGTCAGGTGCGGACATATCCCAAAGCAGAACTCCCGATGTCGGATGGAACACTCACCGTGAGTCGCTCCTAAGATCCAACACAACCAGGTGCTCCGCTACCACTCTGTGAGGATTCCCTCACAGAGTGGCAGGGGCACGAACAACATCCATGGCACCTGTTTCACCGCACGGACCTGTGTGACTTGAGCCACCGTGTATCGGTGGTAAGACGTTAACGACAAGGACCCTACACTCAACTGGTTCTGGTACCGGGTGGACCCCGATTCACAATATAATTGTTTTCGACTATTGAGATGCTGGGCAAATGGAGAAGATATTTGTACACAACAAATCAAGAGTGAGTCCATGAGGAGTTGGATTTGGTGTATAGTGATAATATGTATGCACTTTTCATACGTAGATTGAGAATGATTAAAACATTCAAGAGGCGATTCAACCAGCTCGTTTTGGTGGTTTTACCAACTCACGAACAACGCGAAAGCCGTCGGCCAGCCCCCCTTCCTGGGCCGCCCAGGTATCAGAAGCAAGGGACGGTGCCTTGGAAGCAAAGCGATCCAATGATTGGCTGAAGTTCAATCACCAGAAGTTCCCATAGGGCTACCATTGGGGTGGTTATTGGTATACGGAGGGGCCTCCAGCAATATAACACAATTGGATCACCTAAAGCTTGCATCTCCTTGGCACTTCACCGTCTTTGTTATTGGGGGCCTTCAGCGATACAACATGATTAGACCACCTAACGTTTATATCTCCTTGGCACTTCACCATGTTTTGTGTCAAGGGTTAAACGCGAATCTTTGACCCATTCTCGTCATGCTGGTTGGCCTCAGAGGGATCCTTCTTAATTCAAGAGATGAATCTCATGTTCAACAGGCTGGTAAAACATGCCAGTGGTTCGTCCAGCCCCAGTTTTTGACTTTGAGCCCTCAAAAAGCTCAGCCCACTGAGCTATGTTGACTCTGGGCACCCATGGCTGTTCGTAGGCCCTAGGCTGACCAAACCACCTACCACCCAGCTGGCTGACATAGAGACTTGTACTTGTACTGGTAATAATAAAGATTTGTTTGATGGATGGCAATAGATGAACCCCCACCAGTTAACGGGGAGGAGACCTCTTCCTTGGAAAGAACATACTTCCTTCCTTGGAAAGAACATACTTCCCAAATTTGCTCGGTCAGGTGCAGTTTGTCAGTCGAACAGTGGGGAGACGGAGCAAAGAACGATTTACAGAGCAGTCACCGCAAAACCGGCCTCAAGTGATCATAAGAAATGACCAGCGATGTCACGATGTCACCTACACGTAGTCCTACACCCTTTTCAACCGCATGAACCGTGGGTCCGGGTTTGTTCACCCACACCCACCCAGTGGGGAAGGCTGTTCACTCCATCGTTTTCTTTCTACCACTGGTGGTTCTCAGGTTCAGACTTTGGACCTTCAGACCTCCAAAGTCTCCACAAATTCAGCTCCTTTGGATTCGTTTGACAGGACTTGAGCTCCGCTAGTAGCACCATCAGCTTCAGCGTGGTCTGGTGCCCAGTGGAGGGTGGTATTGGCAGGTCGAGCTGTACCGGAGGATCGAGTGTGGTGACTACATGCGATAGGAGTGTCCATTCGTTTTCTGCATTTTGTCTTGTCAACCATCTACCCCCAGCGCAAAATCCCACCCGCACCCTGCACACGTCTGCACACTCGCTCTCACCCGCCTCGCGGAAAAAAGCCGGCTTCGCAGGCCTCGGCAGCCCACAGCTTCCGGCGGCGCAGTACGGTGGAGGGCCCATCGCCCACGGATGATCTTCAGAGCAGCAATCGCATCGAGCAGAAGGCACCGGCGTTTCGGGTTCGTCGGGCCATCGCGTCGGTTCGGCCATCCGGTCGGAGGTGTTTGTTTTTTTCGTGGAAGGCGAAGGCGATTCGGTGGGGTGGCGACCAGAGATGGCAAACCAGGGAGCTTTGCCATGGTTGTTCCGAACAATGCGGAGGTTGACATGGTGTTTGCGAGATTGTGAGCGCACGATTAGCAGACATGACCCATGGGACTGGAATCAAGAAGAAGCGCCTGATATTGCACACAGACCAAGCCGGACATATAGAAATATATTGAAACAAGAGACTCCAAAGCCAGACATAACATAACAGATCAGTAGATCAAACAACCTTAGAACGCCCAATCACTTGGGCTGCCGCCGGGGCAGTGGCCACGCCAGGAAGTGACCCGATGCAGAGAGATGCTAAGCACCATGGGCACAGTCCAACAGTGTGGGGGGGTTGTGACGCGAGTGTGAACAGGCGAGTGACATTCTTGTCTTGGCGAGTTGGGTGAAGCTAATTACATACAAAGTAGTATACAAAGTGAATCAAAGTGATGTGGGGTGTGTTCATTTTTGGGTTGGGGCATGATGCGAATTTGTGCGGTGTGGGGATTTGACTGATAGGTGTTGCAAGTCTTGTGTTCGACGGCATCATGTGGATGGGCTGTGACCCACCTAGAGCCCTGGTCCACCATGTAGTGAAAGACCTTCCGAGTAGGTCAACCAAGGTATTCTGGTGCCATGACCCACAGCCATTGTTCGTGGTTCATGATGGAGCCAAGCAGAAGCTCCTGAACAAGGCTTCACATGGTTTACCTTCATGGAGTTTACCTGGATATGTTTGTCTACCTTTATGAAGCTGCCTTGATCAGCTGTTGTGTAACGCAACTCCCCAAGGACAGTGGTGTAACGCCACTCCCTCGGTGCGGCAAAAAAGCTTCCCCCGTCTTCGTCAGATCGGCATTCGGTAGATCACCCTCCACGGTGGAGTTTTGCCAAGGCAACATCGTGGCGCTGCTTGTCTGACAATTACATGAAAACACACAGAAGGCAGCTTCACTTCCAGTAGACTTTGGGTTTACATGGTCAACGTATAACTAAAGAATCTGACTGCCTATTGTATATACGCATAAAAGAGTCTTTACCAGATGTGACTGACCCCCCCGCGCCACGAAATCTGCACTTCATCTCCGACACCCGCGCCTGCCACGAAATCAATATTTTAAGGTGAACTCCCCGGGGCATAAACTTCTAACATATATGCCTCCTGTGCTGGTTCTCTTTCTCTTTACTGTTTCTCTGCTAACGTAGGACTTTCTCTGACACCTACACTATTCCTATATATTTTGCCAGCTACGACAGCTCCCAAATTAGTCTAATCAGCTAGCAATTAATATGAAACCTGCACTATTCCAATGTATTTGGCCAGCTACCACACCTGTGTCTCGGCTAAGGTTACAAAATTGCCGTAATTAGCTATATAGGAATAAGAAACCTGTTCTATTCCAATGTTTTTGAAAAAAATATCCGAAAAAATGAAAAACATACCAAATTAAACGTGCACCCATTGTACAACGGTTTTGCCTGGTTGCCCGGTTTGCCCGGTTGCCCGGTGGTCCCGACAAAGGACCAATCCCTTGTACAAAGGCCTTCAGGTCTCAGTTCCGGTCCAGTGCTGGCTCCGGCCCAGGGGCACGAACACCGATCCCATCAACCAAGAGTTCTATAAATGCGTCCGGGACCCCGGGGACCGCCCAGGATGGGGACGAGGGAGGGAGGAGGGTTGGACGAGGGATGTTCATCTTCCGGCGGTGAACCGCTCTTTTTCTGTGAAGATGAATGGATGAACTTGGGATGAGACATATATAGGATGCGTGTTGTGGACACGTCAACTTGGCACACGCTCAAGAAAAACATCCAACACCTGCCGTCTTGGAGTCTTTGTTGGCCGGACGTAGAGGGCACCGAGGGCACTGACCCCCACCATGCGCCTCCCAGGTCTTGTTTAAGAACCGCTTGGTGACCCGCTGTCAAGTGCTCCACTTTGCGGTCATGGAAGCAGCGCGACTTCAAAACGGTGCCTTCAGCCGCAGAAGCGCTGCAATTCGTCGTGGAAAACTCGGGCCAGTTTCAAGTCAGGCGGTGCAATGTTGGGATCGTCCAAGGTTTTGCGATCGTCCAGGTTAAATTCGGGATGGTTATCATGTTAGTAACGTCAATTTTGACGTTACAAAGGTTCTGTTTGTACAATAAGTTTGCTATTGTTTGTTGTTTGCAATATTGTTTCTTGGCGATCTCATGGCAGTCAAAGTTGCAGCTGCTGATGGCTGTTGACAACAAGGCCTATAGCTGCTTTTTCAGACGGCCTATACGGATGATTTGAGAATGCAAAAGAATCGAAAATAGGAAATGTAGGACATTAACCCCCCCAAGCAACTCTGGTCTAATTGTACTTGATGAATTTAAACCTGGCCATTGGCAGGGTATAGGCACCGTGGGCACCTGTTGAAATGTTGACTGTGCGCTTGGGTAACCCTGATCCGAATCCATTTCATGGTTCATATTCTGTTCACATCAATGTTGTGATGGAGAGCCCTGAACCAAGTTCTTCAGCTAAGAAAACGCCCACCACTCACACACGACGGCCTCCGCCCAGGCGGCTGCGTGCGGCAGGTGCTGGAGGCCAAGGCCGACGTGTTTGCGAAGGCCATGTATACCACCGTGAAGCGCCTGGGCCACACCAGGGCTTTCGGAGAACATGGAGAAAAGGCAGTTCTTTGGGGGGCTTTGTCTTTCCTATAGAGAAATGCCGAGAAATGTATCAGAGACCGTATGTGAAAGCAAGTTTTTTAAGCCAGACAAGTGGGATTCGAACTGAGTGTGCGTGTGTCAAGATTGTATGGTTCCATATGGTTCATGTCGTGTTTGGAGATTTGACTGGAGGATCTTCCTTGCTTGGAGACATGTTGCCATCGTTTCCGAAAGACTCATCAATGGGATGGGATGAGGATGAGTCAATGAGGATGATCAGATGTGGTAGGATTAAAGACTCTAGAGGTGCGCCATGTAGTGTTGGTTTGCTTACCCATCTTGGATACACATCGAATGTGGAAAATATATTAAAATATCTGAAGGACAGCAACCAAGTTAGGAGTGCGTTTGAGGTTGAGTGTGTTTGAGTGTGTTGAGGACTTCTGACAGCCCAAAAGCACTGTAGGAGTTATACTCCCTTGTACTTGTTTGGATTCCTTCTGGAGAAAGGCCGTGCTTCGGTTTTCCAGATTGCAGTCTGCAGACTGATGGGAATGGTTAAAGGGCTTTCATCAGCAGCAAATCTCTATTGGTGTTTTTGCTTGCTGATTTGTCATTTGATGCTGTTTCAACAGGGCTCACTCCCATTTTTACCCGGGTGGTGCACCCGGGTGGTGCGCCGAGTGGTGCACCGGGTGGCGCCAGGCATAGAAGAAGCCTGGTGATCAGCAAGAACCCATACTCAAGTGACACCTCTCAGCATGGACCAGCAAGCTGTGAAGTGTGACTTATATATTTAGCTTCTAACGACCTCAGTCCGATTTGTGGTGTCCTTTCATACTTCCTTGCCATGGGTAGCCGGATGAATCAACTGCAAACACATGCAAATGTACTTTATATCTCTTTTTACTATACAATCTTTTCCAAATACTGCATGCAATATTAATATGTCTGTCTATAGACTACATTGATCTGCGAACACCACCTAAACGTAGGTAAAGATGCCAGTTTCATGGAGCTTTCGGTTTTGGATTTGGGACACCCCCTCTGACCTCTTCGCGGCGACTCAGGGGCGAAGCGCCGTGGCGAGAGATGGAGCTGGGATGGAGCTGGGGGGTTCTCCCGGGCCCTGAGAAAAGGATATCGTAAAGGGAGAGGAGCTACAACAGTGGAACCCGACGTCGTAGCTTGTAGGGATGGAGCTGTTCCACTCGTCCTGGTCGGAGCTTGGGGAGGCCGAGCTGGCGCAGCAAGCTGCCATTTGCTGCATTGCATATCCAGCAAACTATATATATATTCTATTGTGGGCAGCAAGACCCTTTTCACATGTGCATTGTCCCCTGCACATAGGGCCGCGTCGGGCCACCTCGAGAGTTAAACATTTCGGAATCGTGATTTCATCCAAAGCGACATGCTATTCACATCGCAGCTACTCTCTATTGGATGAAATCTCCGTATGGCCCTGCTCTTTCAGCGACCATTGGCCAATCTCCATGACCCTTCTCAAAAACGACGGCGTCATCTTTTTAGTTAAGGGGTCCGAAATCATGTTTCCTCCTCCGACCCACCTCACCTGACCCGATGAATGTGCCAAGTCACTCTTGAGGATGGTGAGGTCGATGCCAGTGCGCTTGTCATCTATGTGTGCTGAGGTGTTGCGACACTTGGTCATCGTGTCGTAGAGGGACTTTGAGTCTGTGGCTGCAACAAAAGGAAAGCTGGCCAGCTGTGACTCCCATTTATCAATCTGAAGATTGACATCGAACAGCTCGGCCAGCAAGAAGCGATGCCAGTGGAGGTTGCCGATGCCCTGAAGCATCGATTGGCACTCTGCCGACAGGGTGTTCACTGTGCAGCGTTTGAGCTTATAGCTCTTCCAACCAGCAATCGTGATGTCCTGCTTGTGGTCAGAGGTTTCTAGATCCTGGTGGTAGTAGAAAAGGAGGTATCCTCCTTGACTGTGTTTCTTAGCCAGTTGGAGGAATCGTTCAGACAGGGGTTGGTTCGTGACCTTCTTGTCCTTGGACTTGAAGAAGGTGGTGGTACCTGTCCATTGGGCACCTAGGTCTTTGAAACCATCTGTCCCATCCCACCGGTCATGTTCGATCTGGCTTCCAGCTTGTGTTCTACGGTCTCTAGTGATCTGGTGCAGATCTGGGCCACTTGGATCAATCACTGAACCGGGATGGAAGGTTAAGCGACGTGGTGCGACATGGTGTCGGACCCAGGTTGTGGGTGTTTCCGTCCAGTAGTCCTTGGTGTTGTCACAGTCGGCGTTGGGACCGGCATTGGCCCAAGAAGCGTCGGTAGCTACTCCAATCCTGAGCTTGGAGAGTGGTATTGGTTGGATTCTTAATCCCAAGTCAGAGGTTCTTCGGAGGTCTTCTGCGATGCTATTTCCTTCTACAATGTCCCAGATCATGGGGTGAGGCATAGTTTGCTGAAGAAGTGAGACTCGTCCAGCAATGTCTGGTCGACATTCTTTGGCCACCCAACTCAGGCCTCCAATAAGCTGCCGAAGCTGTCCGATTTCTTCTTCCGAGCATCGAGAGTATTTCTGAGCTCCACGTTCACGACTGAGAGGGATCTTCTTGATGTAGTTCTCGATGTAGTTCTTTTGGGTAACTCGAATGGACCCGTTGGCTTCCGGAGTTAGTTCCTTGCCAGTGAATTTCCCTTCTCCCGTGGTGAACTTACCCATCTTGTAGTTCTGTTGAAGCCACTTCATGTTCTTCCAGTGTTGTACTCCACCTCCATGGACCATGTCATCAGTGGCGAGAGCGATGATGCCGACCGTGTTCCTGGTTTGGCGGCATCGGAGGTAGAAAAGACATGGGTCGGCTCGGCTCTTCTCATACCCCAACTCCTGGAGAACCCTGGTGATGTGTTGGTACCAGGCGTAAGGACCATCGGTGAGTCCATAGCAAGTTTTCTTCAAGCGTAGGAGTTGCCGTGGATGATATCCTGGAAGTCCTTCAGGGGGTAGTTCAGCATAAAGTTCCCGAGCTATCAGATCTCCAGCATGAAATGCTTGGGTGAAGTCCAGGTGTCCGAGTTCCCATCTCATACTGGATATCACTTGTAAGGTGAAGAAAACGGTTTCTTTTGCGACCTGAGGGGTCGTCGAGGCAAGGTCCACGGCACCTTGTTCCGAGAAGCCTTTCATGACGTGTCTGGCCTTCGCCTTTTGGGGTCCGAGAGATGGATCATTGTCCTCAATGAGTAGGCCGTCTTGTTGGAGCTTCTCGACTTCCTCCACCTCGACTCCCTTCTCCGTGAGGACGTAGCGGGACTTCATGATCTTCTCCGCTTTGGTTCTCCTGATATGTTCAGATTCACCCCGATCGAGGACCTCGTAGGCACCTGAGCTCAGGTTGTTGGTCACCTCCTTGAGGATGGCCTTGAGAAATTTCTCTTTCTTCTTGGCGGGGAGCTTGTTGAGTACAATCTCCTTGCCCTTTTGTGGTCGAAGCCGGACGAGTTCTTGATACAGTAGTTCCAGAGCTTCTGTCCTGATTCGTTTGACTGGTGGTTCAGGGTCCTCCACTCTCTCGCGGATCACTGGAGTAGACCGTGGTGACGTGGGTCTCTCCGAGGCCTTGTGGTTGTCCTCATCTTCAATCATCCTTCTCTCACGCTCTTCGTGGGGATCTTGGTCACCTGGTTCGGTAGGTGTGTAGTCATCCATCCTGGGCGACATAGACATAGGTTCCGGATGGTCGAGATCTCCCTCCAAGGCTGGTTCCCTTTCTTCCGGTTTGAACTCGACCTCGGTCTCTGCTGTTTTTCCTTCAATTCGGTACCGAGGTTTCTTTGGTGGTGGTGGTTCCTCTTCGTCAGGTCGATCACGATCTTCTTCTTGTTCTGGTAAGGGTGCATTCTCGATGGCCGGGGGCTTCTCATCGAGGATGATATAGTTTCTAATCTTGTGGTTCTGGATCTCCTTCTGGGTGTTGACAATGTCGGTCAAGAAGTCCATGAACTGGAACTTTTCGTCATTGGTTATGGGACGAAGGTGTTCGGGAGCTGCTTTCACGAGAGTTCCTCTATAGCTGACCCATATTGTGTTCGGGAGGTCCGTGAGGATGACCTTGCCAGGCCCATGCCAAAAGGCTGGCGAGTCCTTCTTCTGTCGTTCCATTCCCTTTCTCCAGAAGTAGACCGTTTGACCCACCTCATAGTCGTAGAACCGTTTGGGGCCTGCATAGACCGAGTGTTTCAAGGCTTGTTCGCACTCGACTTGATGGAATGCAACAGCGGCTTGGGTTCGAATGTCTGTGGATCGTTGAACTTGTGCATCACCTGCGTGATAACGGGACATCACTCCAATGCTACCTTCACCTCCTTGAAAGATGCCTCCTGGAAGTCTGGGACTGTAACCAAGCATCCGTTGAATGGGGCTGAAGCCGGATTTGTTGGACAGGCGGTTCATGGTAGCGTTGACCTCGTCCACGATGAGGTGCCACTCGTCCCAAGATGAGCAACCTGCTTCCATTAGTGTTTTCGACAGGACTTCTTTAAAGCTTCTACCAGCTCGTTCCGTGATGGCTCTTTGAGTTGGCATCTCTAAGGATCCTGGGTCCAGGTAGATGTCGTTCTGGTCCGCCATGAGCTCGAAGTGTCCTTTGAACTCTTTTCCAAGGTCACAATAGATGGCCTCTGGTGGTCCAAAAACTCTGAGCCACTGGTGAAATGCCCGAACTGCTCCTTGAGGTGTGTGGTCTTTTACAGGGATCATCAACTGAAATCGAGTGGCCCAGCAAACGCAGTTGAGGGCCATCTTGAGTTTGCCGCCAGGTTCAACTCCCGGTAGCCATACGGTGTCCACTCCCACCACCTGGTTTGGTTTCAACTGCCTAGGAGGAGCGGCCTGTCGTGCCCCATCGACTCTTTTGTGTCTGATGCAAGTCGGACACACAAGATTCTTGGCGATGTTGACGGCTTCCGTGGAGGCCTTGGCGGTCTTCAGGATGTTTGCTAGTTTTTGGTTTCCTGGGTGTCCTAGTCCGCAGTGCGCTCTCCGAACAAGGCTTTCAATGCTACCTGGTCGTTCAAGAGGTAGAGGTCGTTCAGCATGATGGTCTTCTTCCGGTATTTCATCTTCTCCTAGATCACGAACTGGCAGTGGTTCATGAGGATCAGCTTGAGGTCCCTCCTCCGACTCCATTTCTTCGCTCGCCATGATCTCCATGAGTCGGTCCACTTGGTAGCTCTCCTGGAAGAGGTCGTCGGTGTGGGAGACATAGAGCTCCTCGGTGTAGGAGATGGAGGCCTTATAAGCCTTAAGGATGTGGTCTACCAGAGCTGTAGGGTACCTAGCCGCATAGGCTGATCTTTGGATTCCGTGTGAGGATCCAAGGATTGGTCGGTGAGGGTGGTCGCCTGGGCATTCTTTGTGAAGTGCACTGGCCAAGACCTTGTTGTTGCACATCCATCCAGTGGGCTTCTTATGGTAGTCACCCTCGATAGATTTGAGCTCAAACTGGCATTGGTCATTCTTGGTGAGGAAGATAGCCGGATCTTCAAGGAGGGTCCTCAGGCGGTGATCCTGCCAGGCCTTGGATGTCCATGGATGCTCAAATAGAAAGGTACCCCCATATTCATGAATCATGTGACACAGTTCCACCGCAAATCCTAACAACAATTTGGCCTCCATGAGTCTCCTATGGTATTCCCGTTGTTTGTGAGGGTCGGACTCTCGGGATTTAAGACTCAAATTCTGCAACATGGACAGCATGGTACAAGGAGGGGAGATGCACACCAGCCCTGGTTTATGTTTGTTCAAATACTCGCGAACTGTCTTACGATAGGTTTCCTTAGTCAAGTCATGTCCGAGTTCGAGGTCGAACGCTTCGCCGGCTCGTAAACCATGTCGTTTCGAACGGCTCGAGAAACGATTCGGGTTGTAAACCTCTGCGACCAGCTTAGCTTGTTTCTTTCCTGTGGAAGGTCCCAGGAGTTTGGCCAAACGGTGCACGAATTTACAATTCGGAGTTTTTGAATTGGCTACTGTACAGAGCAGCTGGTCAAAGGGATTAGGTCCCTCTGGCTCTTGTAGGCAAGTCATAAGGTTCTGCCACATTTGGTGGGCTTCTGCTAGGGCACCCTGTCCCTGTCGCAGCAAGCGCTTCAACTTCCTACCGCTCAGCTGACTCTCCTCGGCCTTGATCATCCCTGGTAGGGACCGTCCTCCCAAATCCCCCCCGACTGAAGAGCTCCCGACTGCTGCAGGCGGTGGGCCATTGCCGGAGTGAGATTGTTCATGTCCTCCTGGTAGATCGGGTAGCGAGGCGGAGGGTATCCCTCTTGGTACTGAGCTCCCGGATGTTGGCGAGTCAGTCGAGTGATGTAGAGGGACTTTTGGTCCTTCTGTTCCCGGCGCTTCTGTGCCTTTTCCATTCCCAGAGGGGTTGGCTCGTCCACTAGGGTCCGGTTGCAGTCCAGACACTTCTCCATGATCTTGAAGGCATTGGTCCCCGCTCGGCTGATGTTCCGATGCGGGCAGCGTCGGGGTAGTGGTGGTACCTGCGGTGTGGTGGACGACGATGGGGCTCCCCTCCTCATCGGTTGTGGTGAAGGCTCCTCCAGGTGATCGAGATCCGGACGGAGTGGTTGCCGATTGCACCACTGGAAGGTGGAGCACTGTCCTTGTCGATCCATCGGGCACCTCCAGAAGAGACGGCGGTTGTTCTTCGCCGTGCGACTCAGGAATAGTCGGCATAGACGTCCATGACCGCATTTGGGCGGTGGTCCAACGATCTCCTTCATCTCTTCGAGCAGCTGAGTCACATCTCCCTGGGAGGACCCGGGACTGGCTTGAAGGAGCTCTGAATTCAAGCTCATTCTCTCCCATGAGGCTTCGCTGGTGGTCCTGGTCGGAGTTCGGGGCGCAGGCGCTCGTTCTTCTTCCGGATCGGGTAATCGATGGCGAGGAGGATGTAGGTCGCGGGCCTCCGTCGGCCGCTTCATCAGGTTCTCGAGCAACACGTTGAGCCCTTGCATGACATAGAGCAACTTCCGAAGCAGACGGTTCCATCCCCAGAGAGAGGGAAAGTGGGCCTCCTCTCGTGGTCCTCGAGGTCGCTTCAGCTCCGGCATGGCTTCCATGAGAGGGGAATTGCTTCGGAGGTTCACGCTCGTTGTCAGGGGCTCCGGTTTTGGTCTGGGAAAAACTGTCTGCGGCGGGATCATGTGATTGTTCCGTCTTGAGTACCTCAAATTCTTGGTTGTTGCCGCTGACCTCTTTACTGAGAGATTCCAATTGACCGGGGGTGAACTCACACAACGGAATCCGAAGGGCACCGGTGGGTCCTAGGTGACATTTAACCGTAAACCCTTGCTTCCTGAACCGCACCCGGAGTCCTGTCTCATTATCGAGGTAGATCACCGCCCTACACGAGATGAGGAAGGGCAGGCTGATCAAGAAGGGGGCGGCCACACTCTCGGGGTCGTCGAAGACGGCCGGCATGAAGTATGAGCCCTTCTTTCCAATGCTTGTCGGAACTGCCGCGACGACTTGGGTGCTCGAGATCCCATGGACGCTCTTGAAACGGTGGGTCTGATCTTTGGTCCTGACTGGGAGTCCAGGAGGGAGGCGTTGAGCGAGTCGTTCAAGGGTCTGCCGGCCCACTACCATTCGTTGGCAACCGGTGTCGATGGTTGCGCAACATTCATCGGGATATGGGTTCGATCGGACGGGTTCGGAAACAAGTTTCGGACTTTCCCCATACATAACCCCAAAAATATCGTGATCACTACTAGAGCCACCTTCCCAAGGGTCACCCTGGAGTTCGGCCATATATGCACTCTCGACGTGAGGTGCCATCAGGTGTCGATCACTAGATCCCGGGCCGCCATGACCCGGGACATCTGCGGAGATTTCATCGCTCAGGCGTTCACCTCCAGGGAGAAAAGCACCCTCACCCGGGTGCTCCTCAAGGTGGCCGCAGAAGATGGCCTCTTCCAACACATGGGCCTCCTTCGGGGCTCCACGATCTCGGTCCTTGTCAGGGCATTCCTTGTGCCAGTGACCGGGTTTCCGACAGATGGCGCACTTGGTGACCTTCTTCAACTCCTCCACGGTCATGCGGTAGTTCCCTTCCTTGAAAGGAGCATTGTGCCCCACCATCGTGAAGCTCTTGGTCTTGCCCTTGAAGGTGTTGGAATATCCTCTCGACAGCTCCTTCGCCTTCTTGGCCTTGAGGGTCTGCATGTAGGTCTTCTTCTTCTGCTGCAAGATGGTGCTCAGCACCTCCGCGGCCTCGTGTTCTTCGAGAACACTTCCATCACCGTCTTCTCCATCGTGTCCTTCTTCGTCTTCACCTTGGAGGTCTTGAAGCGCCTCCTCCACAGCATAGATCTCGTCATCCTCCAGGTCATTGGGCTCGGCATTGATGTAGTGGGCAGCAGCGGAGGATGTCGTCCGAGAACTCGTGGTCATAGTTCCTTTCTTTTCCTTTTCAATCCCGACCTGCGAGGCCTGGAGCTTTGTCTCGTGCTTGCGGATCCATTCCCGGATGTCTCCGGGTTTGATGGACCCTCGAGAGTAGTTGAGGAGCGACTTGATGTCGGCATCGGAGAGCACCAAGGCATTGATGAGCAAGAAACCAACGTACCGTTCGGGGAGAACGACGGAGTGCTCAGTCACCTTCCTCATTGCCACGTCCCAGCGGCTGAAGAAGGCTCGAAAGTGCTCATCCTTGCCTCGGCGAAGATGGAAGGTGATCTTCGCCAAGGCGGCCAACAGGTCCTCCTCGCGGTCCTCACCGAAGTTCTCGGGGAGCTCCATGAGGGCGATCAACTCATCGCCATTGCCATCGCTGGTCATCCACGCCCGATCCCGGGCGAGATATTTCATGGTCTCGAAGGGGGTCTTCGTCAACTTCTGAAGGAGTAGCGGCCCTCGTGCACGGGGACGGGCCTTGGTGGTAGCAAGCCACAACCTGGCCTTGATGGCATAGTCCTGAAAGGCCAGGGATTCGCCATCCCACTCTGGCGGTGGCCCATTGCTTCCAAAGCTGCTACCACCGTCGCCCAAGTCACTATCGGCACTCCTGGTCGAGCTGCCATGGCGCCGCCGGTGTTGGCGGTGTGGATACCGGGCTCGAAGAAATGCCCGGAACTCATCACTGTCAAAGGCCTCTTCGGCCAGTTCCTCTTCATCCAAGTCACCAGGGCGTGGAAGCCCTTCATCAAACTCCTGGCCTTCCGGCCTCGACGAACCATCGGCTGCTGTCGCAGCCGCAACCGGGGGCATGGCTCAAAGCGAACCACCAACCAGGGACAACCCCAAAACACCCCAAACAAAACCAACCAACCGAGCCAGGTCCAAGGGCCGAACCTGGCTCCGCTACCACTGTGGGCAGCAAGACCCTTTTCACATGTGCATTGTCCCCTGCACATAGGGCCGCGTCGGGCCACCTCGAGAGTTAAACATTTCGGAATCGTGATTTCATCCAAAGCGACATGCTATTCACATCTATATATATATATATAGAGAGAGAGAGAACTCTTTCAGATTCCTTGTAGACAATGGTCATGATATGGTCATGTTGGACTCCACCTTCTCAAAGCAGCTAGGAGATTGGATCATCAGGCCACTGGTCTTTCTTGCGGGCCTGCTTGCGGAAGTCCCCTTCCGGTTAAGATATCTCCTCCAAGCCATTTTCACACCAGAGCCAGACCCACATGTTCCATGAAGTTGGCCTTTCTCATCCCAAATCGCAGACCCATCGCCCCAGCTAGTCCGACCTTCAGGCATCTTCGGTTCGACCGTAAGGGGGAGCTTTGAGTTTGGCTCGAAACGACCTCAACAGCGGCGAAACACTGAGGTGTCCTACGAAACGGAGCTAGGAGCCATTCACATCGCTGCCGGCTTGGGCTCTGTCGAGGCCATGGAAGCCTTATGCTGCGGAGACGTGGACGTGCGCCGCGCCTTGTCGCGGCAGGGAGGTCGGTCGGGTCGCGGTTCGGGTCGGAGGGAATGGTCGGGTCGGGGTGAGACACTGAGAAGGGGGAAGGGGTGGCAACTGTGGGTTGGGTTGAAAGGCGTCCGTGTTTACCTTATTATTTGGACATCCTGAGTCAATCGATTGGTCATGTGGCCGGAGGATGTGTCAAGAATGCTTGCAGGTCATGCAGATCAGCAGCCCCAAGGCTGGTAGGCCAGCTACACGTTACCAAGTAGTTGTAGCACTGAGCAAGAGTGGCTGGTGATTCCTTCTGTTTGCTGGTGGGCCCGGACTGGTAGTGCTAGTGTGCAGCCCAACCACAACCCACCCTTCGGACGCCACGCTGATTCTTCGGCGGCTGAGGACTCGTCTCCAGCCCCGCCACGGTGGGGGTCTTGGCCCGGTTTCCGCGGGTTACACACCACGATTGGACGTTGGAAGTTACACACGAAGAAGACCCAAACACGTCGGATGTGAAGCATTTTTTGCGCATCCAAACCGGAGGCTTGACCATGGACCAAAGACATGAACAAAACACTCTGAGACGGTTGGCCAGCACACTGAGATTGGGCCAGTGCCGCAGGTGAGAATTTCATGACCTATAGGAGGACCTGGTCAGGTGCTTGAAACACGTCTCTTGTGGTGCAAATCCAGTGTTTCATGTCCGGAAGCTACAAATTCCTGAAAAAGAGTTGAACAGACAAGACATCAGACCACTATTTTTGGACAAACCAAGTCAAGAGAATAGAACTTCATCGCCTTTTGACGGTTGAGAAACCAGGCCGCCAGATCTCTGACGCTTCATGTCCGCTCTCTCTCTCTCTCTCTCGACCGGGATTTCTCCCGGCAACCGAAGCAGAGCCGACGACGGGTGTGGCAAAGCGAGCGCCCAAAAGACCGGTGTGGCCAAGAAGGGCCAGGCCTCTGCAGATGTCGCAACGGCTTTCCACCGAAGCCTCGTTGGGCAGCCTCGTTGGTTGGGCAGCCTCGTTGGTTGGGCAGCTTCAGGATCCTCGGGCAGCACGGCGGGCATGTGGGGTCTCAGGACCCCGGGCGAGTGGAAGAGTTGCAGAAGCCAATCATCGGGGTCCTTAGAAGTCTCGATCATCCAGGCCTTCTTCGGGACGCAATAGTTTCTACTCTGCTTTTCCAGAGCAGAGAGCGCCGGATTTGGAGAGAGTCACAGCGTTGCACAAGTCTGCGGCCTTGTGCTTTCAAGTGCGTTTCTTCAAGCCGGGACTGACAAAGACAGGGCCAGCATCCCAAGTTGTGAAACGGCTTTCATGTGGTCAATGTGCGGCTGCTACTCATAGCTGGGGCTGACAAGGATCAAGCCGCCAGAAATGGGGCAGTGGCTTTACATGTTACAGCTGGGCAAGGCCATGTAGAAGTTGTGTCGCTGTTGCTCCAAGCGCGGGCAGACAAAGACAAGGCCCACACCACAGGAAAACAGCTTTGCATTTCTTAGCTGAACAAGGTCATGAGAAAGTTGTTGAACTGTTGCTTGAAGTTCGGAGACAAAGCCTTGGCCGCAACGTGGGAAAACAGCTTTGCATTTGGTAGCTGAACAAGATCATAAGAAAGTTGTTGGGCTGTTGCTTCGAGCTGGGGTAGAGAATGACAAGGCCTCAGGAAGGCTTGAGAATGCCAAGAGCCTGGCTCTGAGGGTTTTTGTAAGAGTATGATGCGGTCGATGAAACGGCGGCGGCTGATTGGACAGGACACCTGGCCATTTTAGGGCGAAGCTATAGGTCCACCACCACCCATGTGGGGCGCTTCCGCGCTGCACGTTGGGGGCATGGTGCCGCCATGTCTCCTGCCCTGTGTGTGTGTGTTTGTCACTCACTCTCTCTCTCTCTCTCTCTCGGAACTCTCAACAGTTTTTGGGAAGGTCCACATGGGAGGTCAGAAAGGCGCATTTTCTATATATGATACATGTTTACTTTTGCCGACTACTTAGTGGGGGACTTCTTTTAGATGCTTTTTTTGCCAGGTGAATCTTCGAGGAAGCCCCGAGCGCTTTGACTTTTACAGCACCTTGGCCCGCCTTGACTTTGCCTTTTCTGGCGTGTCGCCGCATTCCAAACGTTCCGAAGCCGAGCAGAAGCGTTTGATGGTGGCTGCGACCAAGTACTGGATGTTGTTTTT